TAGTTGAGTCATTAATCTGCTCCAGCATCAGTGCTTGGAAAAAGTCAGTCACTGCTATTGTAAGTACCAGTGACACTGCCCAGTGAGGGTCTAGAAGCCCCCTTATAGTTTTCATACAACCCACAGATTAGGAGAGACGCGGTGCCCAGGAAGGCAACCATCAGAGTTATGCTCAGTAACAGCATGAGATCCTCAGGACACAGTCCTTGAGGCTTTGCTTCTCCAAGGCTCACTCGGGTGTGGCTTTGCTGACCAACCAGCTAAGTTTCACAAGTTCCAATGCTGTCTGTTGATCCCCTCAAATGGCCCCTGACAGTATCCATCCCTTGATGATCAAACAGGACAGAGTTGGTCTCAAGAGTCTGAACCCTCACTTGGTAGCCCAGGGAAAAGCCATACTTCTGCTTCATGGAGTGAAGTGAAGGGGTTTCTTTAGCTACAATAAAATATCAGCACAGGAACCCATGTATTCTTTAGTGGCACAATCCCATTTTTGGCTGGGGTCAAAGTGGAGTTGGAAGGAAGCTGAAAACTCACCCCCAGACCTGCCCAGGGGTAGGTGGGCTGGCTTCATTCCAGGCGGGGAGTTCTTTCTGTCTAGACTCTCCAGAGTTCCAGGAAAACTGTGTGTGTCCTTTGTGATGTCACCAAGCCCTGCCTCTAACCTCACCCACCAGGAGTTTCCAATATTGATCATTGGTAGTAGCTGTGGATAGTTGTCTTCAATTTCCTTGCTTCCCAGACAGATGAGGTCAAAGAGGCAGCTGCTAACCTAGAGGACCCAATAGGTGTGACCTTGGTGAGTGGGGATCATGGAAAATTAGTGAGGGATGGAGTACAGGACCACCCCAGGAAAAGAGAGGCCTGGATTCCCCACTGAGAGGGTGTCAAGTGACTCTCAGGGTCTTCTGCCTTAGTTCCTGGCCTGGGAAATGCAGTTCCCACTAGGCATAAGGCCATATGTGTAGGCATAGGCCCCAGGCCTTCGGTTGTAGAACGGTAGAGCTCTACAACACCATGTCTGATTAGACAGGAGGCGGTATATTGCTCTCACCTACTCAGGAAATCAAACTCTTCTTCCCCCAGCAAAATGAATTAGAACATGGTGACGAGAGCCTGCTTTTACCAAATCTTTGTTTGGCTCACTCTGGGGGACAGGGTACCATGGATAACTGGACTGTCACTTGGGATACAAATGTTGTCTTGGCTCCAATTTGAAAATATTGCCTCGGGCGTTGGTGGCGCACGCCTTTAATCCCAGCACTCGGGAGACAGAGGCAGGCGGATCTCTGTGAGTTCGAGGCCAGCCTGGTCTACAGAGTGAGTTCCAGGACAGCCTCCCAAGCCACAGAGAAACCTGGTCTCGAAAAACCAAAAAAAAAAAAAAAAAAAAAAAAAAGAAAATATTGCCTCTGCCAGCAGCATGAGTTCATATTCTGGGTCCTGTAGGATCTGCAGCCTGACCCCTGTCACCTAGGCTCCTGACTAGCAATCTACCCCAGATCCGGGCCACAAGTATTAGGGACATCCTTGTATGCCTCCCCCACCTCTGAACCTAAAAACCATTGGTATGACACTGTGAAAACGTGGAATTAGTGTGCATAGCCTACTTTTGTGGGTCTCCCCTCCTCATGTTGAGTGTCACCAAGCATTCCCTTTGGCCCTGTGTGGTTATACTTAGTCCTGGCAGGTACAAGCACTCCTGCAGTAAAGGTCTTTGTGTAGGTAGGGGGTTGGAAGCCCTGGTGCATGCATGGTTTCTAGATGTCAGGGGCCAGTTGCCAGGGCCAACAAGGTTTGCTGGACCCTCTGGCTGTGAAGCCTAACTTCCACAGTCCTTCTTCGGCTGGGCTGGGAACTTCAGTTTCACGGCTCAGGGTTCCAAATTGACTGGGAGACCTTAAAAGAGAATGTGAGATTTCACTCCTCCCCTTACCCCGACCGAGCCAGGGAAAGGATTTAGTAAGTAAGGCACTGTTCTAGACACTAGACATAAGACTTCTCGCCTGGGTGGTGGTGGCACAGGTCTTTAATCCCAGCATCTGGGAGGCAGAGGCAGGTGGATCTCTGTGAGTTTGAGACCAGCCTGGTCTGCAGAGTGAGTTCCTGGCAGCCAGAGCTACACAGTGAAATCCTGTCTCAGAAAAACAAAAACAACAAAGCAAACAAAAAGACTTCTCATCTTGTGGAGGTTAGTGTAACTGGCGATGAATCCAAACCTGTTTTGTGACCTTCAAAGGTGTGGCTTTGGGTGACTGAGTTTTTCCAGAAGCTTGAAGTTTTCTTTCTCTCAAACAAACAAACTTTATTTAAAGTTCTCTTGATTGAACTTACTTCTTAAGTACATTGTTGCTCTCCTTTTAAAATAAAATATTCGGCAATTGATCTAGTTTGGTCTCAGTGAAGCTCTGAGTCCATTTCCAGTGGGATCCTACAATTTGTCCTCCCAGCCCCCTGGAAGGAGGCTGTGAGTGACACCCCAGTTCCAGCTCTCTTGCTGCTAGTGACTATGTCTGCCCCTCTCTCCCTCCCCCTCCCTCTCTCTCCCTCCCTCCCTTCCCCTCCCTCCCTTCCCCTCCCTCCCTCTCTCCCTCCCTCCCTTCCCCTCCCTCCCTCCCCCTCCCTCCCTCTCTCCCCCTCCCTCCCTCCCCCTCCCTCCCCATCCCTCCCTCCCTTCCCCTCCCTCCCTCTCTCCCTCCCTCTCTCCCCCTCCCTCCCCATCCCTCCCTCCCTCCCCCTCCCTCCCTCCCCCTCCCTCCCTCTCTCCCCCCTCCCTCTCTCCCCCTTCCCTCCTCATCCCTCCCTCCCTACTCCCTCCCTCCCTCTCTCCCCCTCCCTCCCTCTCTCCCCCTCCCTCCTCATCCCTCCCTCCCTACTCCCTCCCTCCCTCTCTCCCCCTCCCTCCCTCTCTCCCCCTCCCTCCCTCTCTCTCTCTCCCTCCCTCCCTCTCTCTCTCTCTCTCTCTGTCTCCCTCCCTCCTCTCTCTCTCCCTCCCTCCTTCCCTCTGCCCTCCCTCTCTCCCTCCCTCCCTCTCTCCCTCTCTCTCTCCTTTTGCAAAACCTATTTATTACCTAGAGGCATGCACTATGCACATGTAGAGGCCAGAGGGTGACTCTGAAGTTATACACGGGCTCTGGGGACGGAATTCCTGTCTCCAGGCTTACATAGCAGCTGCCTTTACCCACTGAGCCATCCTGCTGGCCCCATTCTTACTCTCCATTCAGCTGCTCTCTTTCCTCAGTCCACCTTGAGTGTGAAGACCAGGCCTGCTTACCCGATCAGCTGCTGGAGGCTCAGTGATGGTGACTTTGCAGTTGTTTTTCCTGTTTCACAGAAGAGAGAAAAACAAAGAAACAACAGCAACACCACCATCCCCGCAGGCCCAGACTCTGCTCCGGGTCACCCTGAGAGTCAGGTTCTCCTAGGGAACTGGCTCTAGCCGGTAGCATCAAAGATGTCCCAATGCCACTTCTCCCTCTATGTGTCAAGCTTCTCAAGGGGAAAAGAGAAAAAAGAGAGGAGGCCGCTCCACTTAGAGGGACATTTTCACCTTCATCCTACTGGCCAAAGATGGTCTGCATCTCCCGCTGCAGCTGGCTTGGTGTGTGCGTGGTGCGGATCATTGGGATGTGCGGCTTCTGGCACAGCTGCTGTGAGTAGGAGCTGCAAACTTCAGGGATCTCCTTTTACAAGAGCAAGGAGAGGAAGGGCATGCTCTGTTGCACAGCAGCCTCTCCTCCTGCATCTGTTGAAATAATGTGCCCACGTGTTGGGTTACTTCCTTTGCTGCCGTGACGGGATACCGGACAGAAGCAACTTAAAGGAAAGATTCATTTGCTGGTTTGTCTCCACGCCCTCTACCCTTGACTGAGAAGCTCAGTGAAAGTGTTAGAGCAGAAGGACTTGGGCCTCAACTGGCCCAGTCCCTCTGCAGAGGGAAAAACAAAGATGGAGTAAGTTACTGTGGACAGGACAGCAGGATGACAGCAAAGTCAGGATTAGAACTCAGAACTCAGTAGCGATGGAATCATGGATGGTCAAAAGCCTTCCTGTGTCCTGAGTAAGTAAATAAATAACAAGTGACACAGAGACACCTTGACAGAGCCTGTCCAGTGATTCAGCCTTGAATTCTCTGGGGATGGCTAAGTCAGAACAGCCAGGGGGTGGAGGGTGAGTGGACAGGTGCATGGGGGGACCTAGCACAGGCTGGCAAGGGTGCTAGTGCTGCTGGCTATAAAAACTCAGGAAGACATATTTACTTCCTGTGCCCTCACCCAGTGTCTCCTGACTGTCTCACACTGCTTCCTCCGAGACCTTTTTATATTGGTAACAGCTCTGACAATATTTCACTATTATAAAACGCTATCCGGTAGTGGTTCCTATCTCATCAACACTGTACCGAGAACCTCTGTAATAAAACGTCTATTAAATAAGTCAACCCAGGCTCTGTGCCCGAGAGAGAGAGAGAGACAGAGACAGAGACAGAGACAGAGACAGAGACAGAGACAGAGACAGAGAGAGACAGACAGAGAGAGAGAGAGAGAGAGAGAGACAGAGAGAGAGAGAGAGACCGTTGCCTATAACCCTTACTATAACCCTTATTTTGCATAGTGGTCTTGGGACAACAGGGGCAAACACATGGTATCACCCCCCTCCCCCAATCCAAAAAGCCGGTCTCTCGAGCAGGGTAGGCAGGTCTTTGGGGAAACTTGAAACCCACTTGAGGAGTGTGGTCCTGGCAAAGTGAACCTCACTTATCCCACTCCTGAATGGGGCTGTGATCAATTTATAGCTCTTTCTTTTGCTGAAGAAATCGGAACTGAGCCTTGCCCGGATATGGCCTCAGGGTGTGGCAGAGCCACCTTAGCGAGGTTGATTGTCTTTCCTTGCTTCTGGATGGCTGGGCTAGGAGGCCTCAGAGGAGAGTTTGAGGCGTGGGAGAGGGTGGGTGGGCAAGGCAGCTGCCAAGGCCCAGAGTTCTCAGTCGCTGCAAACCGCAGCCAGGGAGTGGCAGCCTTGTGCATTCGCGATGGCCATCGTTTCTGATAGCTACAGGATTTCCAGGGCAGAGCCTCGGTCTCTGCTTTTAAGATAACGTAGCCCGGGTTCCCCCACAGGTCAGAGCAGCGTGGGGCGGGGCCAAGGTTGACTCCTACTGGGAGGAGCCGGGATGCCGCTCCCGCGGTGATGCAGAGGGGAATTTGCTGACAGTCCCTTGCCAGGTGGAGCAGGCTTCACCAGGCCGCGAAAAGGGAGGAGGAGGACCCGCCGGCAGTCTCCTCTCAGGTAGAGTGTTGACTGTCACTGATCCTGGCAGCCCGAGCTCCTCGCCTGGGGCTGGCGGTGGCTGTGAGGGCTCAAATACCATGAGCTTGGGGACTGTCGCTGCTGGGAGAAGGGATGAGAATCCGGGTCCTCAGCCAGGGAGGGGGCGGGGAGGGTAGCTTGCTGAGAGCTTTCGGCGACCTGGGACTGACTGGCCAGGAGGGATGGGAGTAGGGGAGACTGGCCACATGCCCACATGCGGCGCACTTTGGTTCCTCCTCGGCTTGTATCTAAGGCAGGGTGGGCTAAGCCATCTACTAGGAAGGGCCTTGACTTAGGAGACCTGTCTTTATGGGATGCCGGGATGGAGGTGGGCGGGATGCTTGCCTGGGGGTCCCTGCCTCTTGTCTGAGTAGGTGTGGTTTCCTCTCAGGGCACCCCACCCCATCCACCCAGGGACTCCCCAGGCCTCTGCTGCTGCCCACTCACTGGGCTGGGCTGGGAGGAGGCGGGTTACTCCACGGTTTCTGTAACCACAGCATCACTGATGGGCTGGCTGTGTGGGGATCCCGTTTCTAGGCGAGACAGCCTGAGTTTCAAGATGTCAGGGTTCTGGGGGTGAAGGATGCCACCCTTCTGTACGTGTTTTCAAAGAGAGGATATGCCTCCAATCTCAACTTGAAAGAAAGAAACTTTGAGTTTGGATGAAGATTCTGGGGAAACAGGTCCAGGGGTGCTTTGACTTGACCGAAGTCATTCTGTAGTCCACAGAGCTGGCCTTCCAGGCGTACTCTAACCCCCTCTGAAGGAATGGCGTTAGTCTTGCTCTCTAGATCCCTAGTTCCCCCCTGGGCTGGATCCCTCTCCTTGGCCCTGAGGATACAGGGAGTTACAGCTTCCGTTGGCTTGGATCTCCTCAGGGGTTGGAATTGGACAGGAAGAAATTGCTAAAAACTGCTCATTGGCTATAGCAGGGGTGATGGGTACCTGTGGGTTCAGGAAAACAGTAAGAGATGGCTTTTAGTGGCAGAGGAAGCTCCCCAGTGTTGCCAATGTGCCCGCCTTGATGGAGGCCGTGGAAAGTTCCTAGGGGTGAGATAGTGCAAAGGGGAATGAGAAGATGGGCTTTTTCTTCCAGAGTTTGTTCCAGAAGGGTGATGGAGTCTTCTGGGGGTGCCTTTTCTTAGCTTCCCTTCTTGTTCTTGTCCTCTCTGATTGGTGACCCCAGAAAAAGTGGGCTCCCCACAGGATCTTGCCGTCAGCCTAGATGAACTTCCCAAGCCATCCTGTCCTCCTCCCTGGGACAGATGTCTTTTTCTTGGAAGGTAAGTAGCTGAGGCAGGGCACAAGCAGTGGCATTTCAGAACCCAAATCAGCTCTCATCCTTGTGCACAGTGGGTACTGCGGGCTGCTCCACACCTCTTACCTGGATAGCTCATGCAGACTGAAGGGGACTCATTCTTGCTTCTCCTCTTCCCACACTGCCCCAGCCCCGGGGAGGTGAGGGTGCGAATGCTCCCTGGCAGGTAGGGCTGATATGAGCAGCTCCAACATAGTCTCCTCCTTCAAGGAATGTTTGCTAGTTACTTGGTAAGGAAGCAGCTTGAAGGAGGGAGAAAAAAATCACTTGGTTACCTCGCCAGCATGTCCCCACAGGGCTACACTGTCCTGTGGATCCATCAGAGCCGAAGTCAGGTGTCTCTCCTGTCTGGGTGGGAGCCACACAGCCACAGCTGTGAGCATGAACACAGCTATGAACTGTAGACAAGGGGACCTGCTGTCTGGGGTAAGAGGCTCTGACCATCCCATATGCTAAATGAAAGGCGTCACTGTGTGCCTGGCTGTGTTCTAGAGATCCTCTCTGAGTATAGAGCCCCTGAAGCTGGCCTCCAGAGAGGGGAGTATGCCTTGGGCTGCTAGGTAGACACTGGGGTTCTCTTGGGGTGACCTGTAGGAAAGGAGGAACTCTCTAGAAAACTGTATTGGAGACAGCTGCTTATGGGGTGGCCATATGGTGCCAGAGAGGAGGACCCACCTACTTGCCACCCCCACTGGGGCCCTTCCCCAGGAGGAAGGCCACTGTTCACAGTCCAGGAAGCTGGTGCTATGTCTTGCTCAGCCTAGCCATGAAAGGTCAGGCCCCCCAAAGTCCCCATCTTCCCCCTGGGTTATCTTACTTCCATGGCAGGAGAATCAGTCCCATAGAACTGAGAGCCTGTTCTGAACCAAGAACTCTGCCCTGAGTTACCCTACCTGACAGCCGGGCGTTAACACACACACACACACACACACACACACACACACACACACACACACACCTTCTCCAGATGTGTGGGAGGGCTTTGAAAAATGAGTCAGGTATTATTACAGAAAGGAAGTGTTATTCCTGGAGAATCTGGCCTACATGGAAGAATTCTGTTTCCTTCCTTGATGGAGGAACTATGGCTATTCCCTATATGTAGGAGCCTAGGGTCTCTTCAGTCATAGACTGGCCCTCCCAGCCCATTTCCAGTTATACTCTGGCCTTTGAGGACGTCTCTGCCCCCCTCCTTAGCTGACTAATATTAACATATTTAACAGGGTCACCATCCAGAGATGCTCATGTCTAGGGGCACACTGGACTTCCCCACAAGCCTGTACCTTCCTATCAGCAAACCCATGGACTCTCTACTCTGGCCTTTCTGGGAGGCAGCTGGTTGAAAAACCATAGAGATAATGGTTGAAACGTGCCGAGAGCTCTTTGCAATGTCCAGGCTATGGGAATCCATGTGGCACTCAGGCCGAGGGTACACTTCCCCTGAGAAGGGCTGTAATGCAAGTGCTTAGGGGAAGAGCTGAGCAACTGAGTGAGACCAACAGCTTTTAGTGCCAGTCTTGCCCGACTGGGGCCCAGTACTCTCTCCTTGGCCTCTCTTGTGAGAGCTTGGGTTGTGACAGATGACTTACCCAGGACTCGACTTTCTCGCCCACGTGTTGTCAGGGCCACAGTGAGAGCTAAGATGAGAAACTGGAGCCACTGAGATGCACGTGTGGTCATTGCATGGAAGATGAGTTCTTGTTCTAGACCTATCCGGGTTGCTCAGGGCTACCTGAGAGCAGCCCTTAGGAACATCCTGAGGATCGAACTTCATGAGCTGTGTTTCTAGAGCAAGTTATACACCCAAGCTTCCATGTTCCTTGCCAGCGTTCGTAAGTTCATAAGGCTGGGACTGAGACAGGCAAGAGGGGAGGGGCTCCCCACTGTCACCTCTGCTCCTTCTGATCAGCAGAGATGCTCTCAGGGAGACAGAAGTGCAGGCCCACCTAGAAAGCCAGGACTTGGGCCAGGCGTCCTAGCATCCTGACTTGTATCTTCCTCACTTCTATGTACTCTCTTTTACCAGCCCTTCAGGAGGTAAGCCACTGGACCAAGTGGATGAGGGATGGCAGGGCTCTGTGCCTTCATTCCTGCCGAGTCAGGGCCCTTGGTGTACTTAGAGGGTCAGAGACAGAAAGGCCATGCCAACTTCTAGTGGGAAGCCAAGCTGTCCCGTTGTCATCACCGAGTAGCCTGGCCAAGGGGGGTGGCCCTGGAGATAGACACCTTGACACTGTGGCTGAGTCTTCTCAGAATTGTGCCCAGACAGATGAACAATGGCCTCAGGCCACACCCCGGGTCCAAGAGCAAAGGACTCCTAAGGTCTTTGGAGATCCAGGGGAGCCCTGTGGTCAATCAAGAAGATGGTTGAGTTAATGATCACGGGGCCATTATCACCTCGGATGTCCAAGCGACACTTGGCCATGGCATCAGAATGCTGCGAAGAACAGCTGCGCATGCTCTCAAAGCCGTGTGGGGTGACCAGCTGTGTGTGTGTGAGGTAGGACCTGCGCATGGAGGAGCTGTCACGTGGGACACAGTAGTCAGAGTTGCTGGGGGCAGGGCGTTCACCGGCATTGTTGCCCACTTACTTGATTTCTGAGATGAGTCTTCATTTTCACTGCCGGGAAGCCGCCCGCCCTGTTTGGAGTCCTCAGGAAGATGACTGGGAAGGTACACGGACGTGACTGCGTGGTGCTTGGTCACTAAGCCCCCTTTCCATTTGCTTGTCTTTTCATTTCTGAGCCACCAACTCTCAAGGGACATTTGGGATGACAGACCTCGCTTTGGTGGCACCACTAAATGTCTGGTGTTGTCTGGCCAGACATGTAAATTACTCAAGACCCCATTAGAATTGAACTATTCCCTTCGGAAGAGCCTCGGGTTCCTGAGGGTCTGGGAGAAAGGAGTCATCCATGATCCAGAAGGCACATGGGTGGCAGGTGGTGGAGGAGATACTGCATAATGTTACTAGGCCAGAGACCCCCTCCTGGCCAGGGCCATGCGTGTTCATGTATGAACTACACCAGACCTGGGAAGACTGAAGACCTTAGGTCAGGGATAGTCTCCTGAGTTCTTTGTGCTCCGTGGTTGCATATGCCTGGTTATTACTTCTGATATGTCTCTACGCTCCAGGGAAGAAGCAGAGTCAGTGAACTTTCACTCGAGTGGAGAAAATGGAGTCCATGGGAGACAGTGTGAGCCACAGCCTTGTGTATGTGGCTGCAGGGACATGTCTCCAGCATACAGGCGTCTGTCTGTTTCCAGCACATAGGGGGCTGTCTCCAGCATACAGGTGTCTGTCTGTTTCCAGCATACAGGTGTCTGTCTGTTTCCAGCATACAGGTGTCTGTCTGTTTCCAGCACATAGGGGGCTGTCTCCTGCGTAGAGGGGTCTGTCTCTTTCATAGAGGGGGCTGTCTCCTGCATAGAGGGGGCTGTCTCTTTCATAGAGGGGGGCTGTCTCCTGCATAGAGGGGGCTGTCTCCTTCATAGAGGGGGCTGTCTCCTGCATAGAGGGGTTTGTCTCCTGCATAGAGGGGTTTGTCTCCTGCATAGAGGGGTTTGTCTTCTGCATAGAGGGGTCTGTTTCCAGAACATAGGGGGCTGTCTCCTGCATAGAGGGGTTTGTCTCCTGCATAGAGGGGTTTGTCTTCTGCATAGA